CAGACCTTTTTGCAAAATCAGCGCCACCCTGGAACACCTCCAGAACACCTTCAAGGTTTGGGGCAGTTTAGGGTTAGGGTCTATAGGGTTTAGGGTCTACGGTTTTCGGGCAAACCCTAACTCGAAAAACCCAAAAGCTCGGTTAACAACACAAAAACACTTAAAGCTCTAAAGAACAATAAGTACCAAAGTTTCCTAAATCCTGAACCCTAAAACCCCAAATCCGAAACACCAAACTCCCCAAAAACCCAAAAACCTGAACCCTAAACCCAAATCCAAAGACTCAAAAAAACAATAAAACCTAAATCCTTAAAACCAAACCCGAAGCGCCAAAACCCAAAAAAATTCTAACAGCTAAACCCCTGACACCCTAAACCTAAACCCAATAACCCCACGCCCTAAAACCCCCAAAAAAAAACCGACACCCTAAAACAAAAACTCAAGCACTAAACCTTGAAAACCCCCAGAAGCACCCTGCGTCCTAAAACCCCAAACCCTAAACCCTAAACCCTAAACCCCAAACCTAAACCCAAGAAACCCTAAAACCTAAACCCTAAACCCTAAACCCTGAACCCTGAACCCTAAACCTAGAAACCCTTGAAAACCCAAGAACCCTACGTCCTAAAACCCCAAACCCTAAACCCTAAACCCCAAACCCTAAACCCCAAACCCCAAACCCCAAACCTAAACCCTAAACCCTAAACCCTATACCCTTAACCCTAAACCTAGAAACCCTTGAAAACCCAAGAACCCTACGTCCTAAAACCCCCAGAAACCCTAAACCCTAAACCCCAAACCTAAACCCAAGAGACCCTAAACCCTAAACCCTAAACCCTAAACCCTAAACCCCAAACCCCAAACCCCAAACCTAAACCCAAGAACCCTACGTCCTAAAACCCCCAGAAACCCTCAGCCTCTTGGGGGTGCGATGGACGAAGTCGCCGGACAGGGAAGCCTGGGATGGCACCTGAGGGTTTAGGGTTTAGGGTTTAGGGTTTAGGGTTTAGGGTTTGGGGTTTAGGGTTTAGGATTTCAGGGTTTCTAGGGTTTCTAGGGTTTTGGTTCTAGCGGTTAGGTTTGAAGTTTAAGTGTCTGAGGGTCCTAAGGGTTTTAGAGTTTAGTATTTCGTGTTCGTGTGTTAGGTGTTTAAGGTCTGTCAAGGCTGTTAAGGTGTTAGAGTCTAGATCTCAGAGTCTTCAGGAATTGTTTAGGATGTATGTCAGCGTGCAAGGTCTCTACCGGGGAGGCCTACAGAATGTATTCGTCGGACAGTCCCCGCTGACACCTATTCAGAAGCTGTGGGTTTTCCTAAGACCTCCACCTTCCTCCCTCAAACCTACACCCTACACCCTAACCCCTCCACTTCCTGAAGCCCTAAGCCCTAAGTGTTATACTGGGGTTCGCTAGCGACCTCGGAGAAAACAAGGGTTCATGGTTTGGGGGTTTTGGGGTGTTTAGGGTTTAGGGCTTAGTTTGAGGTTTAGGGCTTGGGGTTTAGGGTTTAGGGTGCTCTTGTTTAGGGCGTTGGGCATCCGAGCATGAAACAATCCAGACCTGACCATCCTAAACCTACAAGGAAACGCCCGCCCTACTAAACTTAATACAGTCAAGGGAGTTATAACATAATTTGCGATCCATATATCCCAACTTTGGGTCCTTATAACTCTACTTATAACTAGTGGGGGCCCCTCCGTGTACCAGCTGAACCATTAGTGCCTAGAATTTCTGTATGTGGGGTACTGGAGTCGGGTAGGCGCACCCGAAGCTAGCCCCCAAGTCCCGTAGAACGCTGGGGCTTCGGGGGTGTGGGCTGGGGTTTGTGGTTTAGGGTTCAACCCTAAATCCTCCCAAGGGCTTCGTGTGCAGTGTCTACAGTAGCGGCCTCGTACATCCTGCGAGAAGGCTTGGCTGCGAACCGGACCGTCCTGGCCACTCCGAGAAGTATATCCGGTCTGACCAAAGGTTTCTCGGGCGTAGGGGTTGTTCGAGTCGAAAGGTCCGTTAAAGGGATGGAACAGGCGATGAGAGTCTCTTAGACGAGGAACCCTTCCAGAAAGAGGAACCTACCTTCCAAGAGTTATATTGGGATTCGCGGTGTAGGGAATTTTGAACAACTACCGGTTAGACCCAGTTGGGTTTAGGGTTTGCGGCGCGGGGGAAGTTTGAACAACTACCAGTTAGGCCCAGTCCTGCTGTCCTTAATGTGGGTACCTACCTTGATGGCCAGCATAAAGAAACACAGGTCATTTGGGTGTCTAGGTGAAGCATGGTCTGGTCCCTTAAGTTCTCTAAACGCTATTCCTAGAAAAGGAACCCAGTTACAACTCTACCCATGAACCAACAAGTGGCGACACGACCCAAGCCTGAACTGCCAACAAGTTCCGAGCCCACAAAGAGGGTTTAGGGTTTAGGGTTTAGGGTTTAGGGTTTAGGGTTTAGGGTTTAGGGTTTAGGGTTGACACTGTAAAGGCTCTGAAACATATTCTTAGGGTTTCGGGTTTGGGGCTCTCGTGACATACCCAGCAGAAGCTAGAGTAGGGGCTTCACTAGCTGTTAGACCATAGGAACCTGTGAGCCCACAACGAGGTATAGGGATTCAACTAGGGTTGTAAGGGTTAAGGGTTGAGGGTTTGGGGTTTCGACCTTAGGGTCTTTGGGCTGGAGGGTTTAAGGTGTGAAGGTGTTTAGATGTGGAGCTTATAGGGTTCAGAGTGTACACTGCCGGCCTCGAGTCGTGGTGGCTCCTGACGCTTGCCACCTGCTCCTGTAGGATGCCAGGAGAAAGAGACTTGAGGGTGCGGCCCTTAATCCCTTCCCCCTTTTATTACATGAAACCCTAATGATAAAAACTCTTTCCGGAAAATCCTGCCGAAACCAACCCCGCCTTTAAAACCCTATTCCGAATTAGGGGGGGGGGGTTCAGGCCTCCAAGAAACCCCTCAACACCAATAAAACCCTCAGAGGGTTACTTAAGTTGATTACTTGAGTAACACTGAAGTCTCATGAATTCTGACATTTCGATAAGAATACCCCCTAATTATATAAAAAAAAAAAAAACAGTTTTCGAATTTTTAAGGGGGGGGGGGGGGAGCCCCCCCGTTTAATAAAAGGGGGAAGGGAAAATCCTTTTGGGTTTAGGGTTTAGGGTTTAGGGTCTAGGGTTTCGGGTTTGAGGCTTAAGGTTCAGGGTTTAGGGTAGTGCCATCGGTCGCCCGGACCCGAAAGGCCCGGGGCGAAGAGGCCTCGACCAGCCCCTTCTTGAGAACGATCTTAGTTTTCACCAGGTCTGAGGAAGGTCCGGGCTGGAAAAGGGGCAGAGGGCAAGGAACCCCACAAGCGGTTCCATTCCCCCCCGGGCCAGGACAGCTCAGCCTGACCCTACGCGAGGACAGAGCCCTGTCAGGCTCGAGAACCCACGCACATGAGCGTGTAGATTTCACAGCTTTCTGAGGGTCCCTTAACAGGGCTACGAGCAGTCAAGCTGAGTAGAGGTGCCTTATGTTGGGCTCTAGGTGTAGTTTGGGGGCCTTCGCCCTTAGACGGGAAGCCCGAACCCCAGGAGCCCTCCCAAAAGCCCCCGAAAACAGGATGGGTGACTCCCGCGCCCGCACCCCCTAAACTCAAAAACCTATTGTAGTGGTGGAGCCCTGATATTCCCGTTTTCATGTTGGCGCCCTGACATTCCCATAAGAGGTAAGGAACCCTTAAAAGGGACCTGGAAACCTCTAAGCCCTAAGCTCAAGAATAGGCCCTTATTCCTTATTAGTAGTTCTCCAAACTAGGGTCCTTTTTTGGGTACCCCATCTAGCACGGCACCCTTCTAAAGAGGACCTCCAAAAGAGACCCTGGTTTAGAGCCCCACCCACAAAATCTAGGGCCACCTGCATGTAGCCACTGAAAGGCTGGCCACAATCACGACCAAACCCCCAAAGCCTACAGCTCCCTGGACCCCTAAACCCTAAACGCTGATTAAACCTTAAAACCTAAACCCTAAACCCTGAACCGTGAACCCTAAGCCCGAAACCCTAAACCCTAAACCCTAAACCCTAAACCCCAAGCCCTAAGCCCTAAGCCCTAAGCCCTAATTAAACCCCAGACCCTAAACCCGAAACCCCAATCACGGAAGGACGCTTTTTTGACCCGGCATTCTGGACACTTTGGCCCTGTCTAGGCTCTGCCTGATCGAGGGGCCCAGCCTTCCACTTCCGGTGAGCCCGAAACCCATCTGGTTTAGGGTTTAGGATTTAGGGTTTAGGCTTTAGGGTTTAGGGTTAGGGTTTAGGGAACCCGAAACCCATCAGGAGTGGGAGGAGCAGGCGCTGCGCAGCGATAGGAACTTCGAGCTGTCAAGGGTCCTTGGGCTGTTTTTTTGGTAAGGCATAAATGGATAGATAACAAAATAATAATCACAGCAAGAAGAAGAATGATAAATCATAGTGATAATCATGATAACAAAAACAAATAGCAATGGTTGTTATAGTTTCTAAGGTTTATAAGGTTTATAGGGTTATGTGTTTTGGAGGGGGGGGGAAGTTGTTGTAGGGCTTTTACACCAAGTCTGGGTTTTGGGCTTTCGGGCTTTTAGGATTTCGTGTGTAGGGCTTGAGTGGTTGCTTAAGGGTTTAGGGTTTAGGGCTTAGGGTTTAGGGTTTAGGGTTCAGGGATTAGGGTTTAAGGCTTTGGGCTTTGCACGAGTTTAGGGTGAAGGGTTTTCTGGGGTGTGGGGTTGAGAGGGCCATATTCTTAGGGTACCCAAACAAGATCCTAGAGAGCCAAATGACCCTATATTCAGGAATATACCGAAATTCAGACCCTCTCTGTTTAAGGAATATTCCTTTTATGCCATGACTTAGGGAGCGCCCTAATTTCACACAAAGACATTCGGACTTGTATTTCTAGCATCCCCAAAAGGGACACCCAATGCATTCAGCAAAACTTATAAGGAGCCGTATATACACCCAGCAAAACTAGTAAACCCCTAAACCCTATAAACCCTACCTTCAAAGTCCGGTCCTGGCTCATTGGCTCGGATTCTGAAATGGTACTTGTAGCGCCATGATGGCACCCTACGCCCTAATAGTATAGGGCATGTGGGGTTAATAGTTTAGGGAGTTTGTGGAGGTTAGGGTTTAAGCAGGGTTTTCATAGGGTATACTCACTCTCGGTTTCTTGCACAAGACGATGATCCAGGGCCAGTTCGTTTGCTGCTGATCCGCGCCGAGGGTCCGAAAATGCTTGGCGGGCGAATAGCCTCCACCCTGCAGCGTTTCCTCCCACTCGCCTAGGAAGGACTGCAGGCACGTCGGGTTTGTAGCATAGATGCCGGGGACAGAAGAGGGCGGATCTTCGGTCTTCGTGTCGCATCCAGGGAAAGGCCGCTCTAGAGCAGCCCCGGCGATTTCGACGATGGGATAGGTGTCCTCCATGCTTCTTAAGACATGGCCTACGTACTCCGGCGTGCTCTATATAAACTATATACCCAGTACGTCATTTTTACCCTGTGTTTTTTACAGCATGACCTGTATCATCTACATGTCCGTCAGATGTGTGTGTGTGTGCATGTGTATACATTAAATTACAAGAGTTGGTGCTCATGGGTGAGTAGCTTTCACGGCACTACGTAGTCTCCTAAGCTAGAGTAGCTTGAGGTTCTCTTAGGGTAGCTGCATGGTCCCTTAATATGGGCCCTGAAAAAGGGACCCCTTACATACCCCATATACCCTACACGTCCCTTGGAGGTTGTCTGGCGCAGAAAATAGGACTACAAGTTGCGATGGCACCCCTGATAAAAACATTGACAATCTCTGCCGTCCTACACGAAAAATCTGAAAACCCCGCAAACCCCAAAGCCTCACTCCACACCACAAGCCCAGAGAAATGCCCAAAGCCCGAAACGCCCAACCCTAGACCGCTCCTTCCCGAGGTCGCGCGCTTTGCTGAGGAAGTCTGCCAGCGAGCAGGCCGAGGTGTCCTAGTTTCCACAGCATCCTGGGAAAATATAGAACCTAAACCCTAAACCCTAAACCCTAAACCCTTCACCCTAAACCCTAAACCCTAAACCCTACACCCTAAACCCTACTACTTGGGCCTCCGAGACTCATTCGCCACAGGATCCCGGAAGGGCCCCGCGTGTGCCCAGAACAAGGCCGCCACCTCCGAGTTGCCAAAGGGCGCCTTACTAGTCAAAGATCTTCCAAAAGAGCGCTGAGCTAAGGTTTAGGGCTTATAACCCTAAACGGCCGTAAAGCTTCAACCCTGAACCCTAAACCCTATAAACCCTAAACTCTTGAGGGTTTAGGGATCAGGGGTTGGACGGATGAAGCGACCGAGTCGTGAGGGTTCAAGGATTTTAAGGTTTTCTGCAGTTAAGGGGTTGTAAACCCTAAACCGTAAACCCTGAAGCCTAAACCCCCAAACCCTAAAGCCTAAACCCTAAACCCTAACGCTTAGGGATTGGTACCCAGCAAAACACCATCACCTGTCTAAAAAAACGAAGGGGCGCCGTGATGACCTCGTTGAAGGCCGTCAAGGCAAAACCCACCCTTCCAGGGCAGGGAGACCAGGATGGTTTAGGGTTTAGGGCTTAGGGCTTGGGGCTTAGGTTTAGGGCTTAGGGCTCAGGGCTCAGGGCTCAGGGCTCAGGGCTCAGGGCTCAGGGCTTAGGGCTTAGGGCTTAGGGTTTAGGGTTTAGGGAAAGGTGCTAGGCTTAGAAAGTTTAGTGTCTAGGGTCGAGGGAAGACAAAAAAAAGCAAAAAATGAACCAAGGGTGTAAGAGTTTTGGGGTGGCTGAAGGCCTTCAGGCCGATGGCCTCTTTTCCCTAAACCCTAAACCCTAAACCCTAAACCCTAAACCCTAAACCCTAGACCCTAAATTGTTCGGACTCCGGGCGTGGTGTCTGACCATGGCAGGATGATAGCCTACTGCTTGTTTCTCTTGTGATTGCGACGAGTGCTACGATATTACAAACGTGTAGTTGTCTAGAGGTTCAGGCTTTAAGGGTTTTATAGAGCTTATAGGGTTGAGTTTGGGGTTTGGATTTGGGTAACCCTAAACCCTAAACCCTACTCCCCTAAACCCTAAAAGACTTGGGAGTTCCTTTGCCTCGAAGCATTCCGCAGCCACTCGGCCGAGGTCGTGTCTGGCGGTAGGCTCCTCATGCCCAAGGGGAAATACCCAAATTAGGGTTTAAGGTTCAGGGTTCAGGGTTTAAGGTTCAGGGTTTAGTTAGGGTTTAGGGTTTAGGGTTTAGGGTTTAGGGTTTAGGGTTTAGGGTTTAGGGTTTAGGGTTTAGGGTTTAGGGTTTAGGGTTTAGGGTTTAGGGTTTAGGGTTTAGGGTTTAGGGTTTAGGGTTGAGGGATTAGGGTCCAGGGTTTAGGGTTTTGGGAACATGAACCTTGCTTTTAGAGCTATGGTCTAGGGCCTATAAGGGCCGACCCAGAACGAAGAAAGGGGCTCTAGACAGGGCCTCCTGTACATATTCTGCCTAGGGTTCAGGGTTTAGGGATTAGCCCTAAACCCTAAACCCTAAACCCTAAACCCTCAACCCTAAACCCTAAACCCTAAACCCCAAATACACTAAACCCTGAGTCCTCGACAGCTTCAGGAGTGCCTTTTGGGCGGCGATCGCATCCGGCACATTCTGAAAGTGGCAGCTGGCGGAATCCAGTTCCCTTAGCCCGTGGTTTAGGGTTTAGGGTTGGGGGTTTAGGGTTTAGGGTTTTGAGGTTTTGGGGTGCAGGGTTTAGAGGTTCTGACCTCCCTAGATTCCAATGCGCGGGGGCTATCGGGTTTCGTGTAAAAGCTTATAGGGTTTAGGGCTTCTGCCACTGAAGGCTGCGGGAATTTATCCATACTCGCTCAGGAACTCAATATAAGAGCTTCTCCTCAGGAAACCCAGAAGCTATTTGTTTAAGAACAACAAAAAACAGCAAAAGACTCTCCCGCATAAGGGCAATATAGGGATTCTTCTTTTAATCTTTTTGGGGGTTATTGAGGAATTCGTAGAAAAATCCTAAACCCGGAGCCCAAGCCCGAAATGCTCAATGCCAGGGCTCCACCAGCCCGAGGTCGAAAAGTCCGTGTTCTGCGGTTTGTTGAAGTACCTGGCATGCCAGTATGGGCTAGTAGGCCCTATAATCCCAGAAGCAAACCTAGAAAGGGGCTTTACAAGGGGGTGATGGGGTAGAATAACCCATCCTGGCATGAGCCTCGGGTTGCAGAGCTTTAGGCTTTACGGTTTAGCCCCTAACCCCTAAGCCCCTAACCCCTAAACCCCTAAACCGTTAAACCCCTAAACCCTTAAACCCTAAACCCTCAATCCTAAACCCTAGACCCCAAACCCTAGAAAGCCTGAAGCCGCAGAGAACTCCTCCAGCATTCAGACACCTTTATAGAAGCAAAAGTCGTATTCCCCTGCCCCATATTTGAAACTCCCCCATCTAATCTAACTATTATGGAGTATTTCACATTAGGGGGTAGGAGGGGGGGTGGGGGGGGGATTAATTTTAGATGGAGGACAAGGGACACCCTGTTTAGGGATGACTTAGGGTTTTGGGTTTAGGGTTGAGGGTTTAGGGCGGGTGTAATTAAGGTTTCCCCTCATTTTCGTTCAAGGTACGCTTGGGCGAACTCCTCCGCCGAAGAAAATGAGCAAGAGCCACTCATCTTGATGCCAGCCTGTGGCATGTTTACAGAAAATTAAAGAGTTTTAGAGAATTAGGGGTTGGGGGTGGAGGGTTTCGGGGCTTGGGTGCTCGCGATCTTTGTGAGAGGGTACACTAGAGCGCCCCCGCCCCATGTTCCACAGCCGATCATTACAACCCTGACTAAGCTATAAATGAGCCCTTAAACAAAAAAACTTGCCTTACGTCAGAAAGAAGTCGAAGCTAAGGCAAAGAAAGGGCCTTGTTTTGCTGCAATAGGCTTACTACCCTAAACACTGCACCTCGTGTGCATAAACATCCCTAAACCCTAGACCCTAGACCCTAAAACCGAAACCCTAAACCCTATTTCGGAGAAGCTCGACAATCCTGAGGCATCAACCTCGCTGGCCACCATCGGCTTCGTCTTGCCACACTTGTCACGATGGCCTGCGGGACGCTTCTTTTGGGGGGAAGGTAGGGTCCAGGGCTTCGGGTTTAGGGGGGCTGGGGTTTATGTGGGGTGGGGACTTCGTTAGTTGTGCTTGCGAGGGGGAGGGGGGTGTTAGGTCTCTAGGCTTTCTCATGGGGTTCTATGGGGTATGTGGGGGTCCTTCATCATCCTGCCGCGTGTTGCTGTTGCCGTCGAAGGGATATGCGCAGCGAACTCCAACCTTCCCCGGCTGCAGAATCTGCCCCATGACATCCGCCCGCTTCTTGAAGACGTACCTTGCGACCCTCCAACCAAGAGCCCCGAAACCCTAAACCCAAAACCCTAAACTCGAAACCCTAACCCCCAAACCCTAAACCCTAAACCCTAACCCCTAAACCCTAAACCTAAACCCTAAACCCTAAACCCAGATGGGCCCTTCATTCGGTCCCTTACCTTCCTTAAAGGGTTCTGATGTATGGGCCCTTGGGTTGGAAATGGTATATGCGGGGTGTATAAGGGTCCCCTTTTAAGGGCCCATATTAAGGGACCGTGTAACTACCCTAAGAGAGGGCCCGAAACCCGAAACTGTCCCAAGCCTTCATCTCCCCGAATCCTGGACCCCACGCTCTAAATCCTAAACCCAAGCCCTCACAGGACTTCGAGGATTTCGTAAAGGTTGAGCTTCGAGGTTAGGGGCTCACCCTCTGTGATCAGTCAGAGTCTAAATTTTGGGGTTTAGGCACTGGGGCTTAGGATCTCTAAGGTGGGATCCCCTAAACCCTAAACCCTAAAACATAAACCCTAAACCCTAAAACTCTAAACCCTAAACCCTAAACCCTCTTTTGGTGCCCCCAGGCTCTGCTCTGAACCAGGGCACAAGGCCAATGGCAAGTCTCGTCTCAGCGCGGAAGCAGAGACGCCGGAATTGCTTGGCGGACCCTGAGATAGTTCAGGGTTCAGGGTTTAGGGTTTAGGAAGATAGTTCGGTGTGTTGGGGATAGGTCGTCGCGTTTGGGGTTCTTCTGATTTTTCTTACTCCCTCGCTCCTCGCTCCTCGCTCCTCGCTCTCGCCCTGCCTCTCTCTCTCATCTTCATCTTTCTCTCTCAAAACCTAATTTAGGGTTTAGGGGTTGAGGGGTCAAGGGTTCAGGGAATTCGGCTTAAGATGTTCGAGCCAGGGGACATCGTATGGAGCTCCCACACGGACCAGCAAGCCGTCGTCACTGCCGAGGGCAGTGGAGATCTCCTGCCATGCTGGCGAACCCTTCAGGCCCTGAATCCTAAACCCTAAACCCTAAACCCTAAACCCTAAACCCTAAACCCTAAACCCTAAACCCTAAACCCTAAACCCTAAACCCTACATGCCGTCATGGGCTGATCTGGGATGTGCGATTGAAAGGCCAGGACCTAGGGTATTGGGCTTGAGGACATGTAAAGGGCTTATATTGGTTGCCCAGGTTTAGGGCAAACCCTAAAAGTCTACACAAACCATAAGCCCTAAACCCCAAAATCCTAAACCCTGAACCCTAAACCCTAAACGGCGGAGTCTTGTTTACAAGGTGTGGCGCCACATTGTTTAGTTTAATGAAGGTGTGAAGGGGTAATTTTTAAAGGTGTGGCGAGGTGCAGTATATTCATTCTGCTTGAAGATTACCTCCAAAAAAAGTGACGCAGGATTTTTAAAGGTGTGGCGGGATTCGTTTTGAAGCTCTGGCGGCCCCTGGTTTTTCTTCGCCCTTTGGGACACCTCCCTGCAGCCCCCACGTGGGCGGGGGGGGGGGGAGGGGCGGAGGGGGGCGGAGGGGGGCGGAGGGGGGCGGAGGGGGGCGGAGGGGGGGGGGAGGGGGGGGGGGGGGGGGGGGAGGGGGGGAGGGGGGGAGAGGGGGGGTGGGGGGAGAGGGGGGTGGGGGGGACCACTCAGCAACCTCATGATCCCTAAACCCTAAACACTAAACTGTTTAGGGCTAAGCGCTAGACCGGCTAGGGTTTAGGGTCTTTCAGGTTTAGGGTGTAGGGATTAGGGTTTAGGGACCCAAGCCAGAAGTGCAGACGACCAAGACCCTTTTTGTCCGCAGCAGAACCACCCTCAACCCAAACTCCCTGAACCCTCAATCCTACATTACCAAGCCCCTAAACCGTAAACCCTAATCCCCTAAACCCCAAAACCCCAGAACCCCAAAACCCAAAAACTAAAACCCTTACCCTAAACCTTAAACCCTAAACCCGAAATCCTAGATTCCTAAACCCTAACTCCCCAAAACTCCCCTAAACGCTGAATTCTAGATTCCTAACCCCTAGCTCCCCAAAACCCTAAACCCCAAACCCTAAAAAACCCAAACCCTACAACTAAACCCTAAACCCTAAACCCTAAACCCTAAACCCTAAACCCTAAACCCTAAACCCCATAACTCACCCAAAACTCCCTAAGTGTTCAAGTGCCGGGCTCCTGGAGCAGCGCATCCGCACTTTGCGTGGTGCCGGTCCGCCTCTGCAGGGCCTCAAGGGCGCAGTCGTCGCTCCTGCTGGGTTTAGGGTTTAGGGTTTAGGGTTTAGGGTTTAGGGTTTAGGGTGTAGGGGCTATCTAGTGCATAGCGCTTACTCGGGGTGTTGAACAATGTGCCAAGCGGCTTATGGGGCTAGTAAGGTTAATTCGGCTGAAGGTTTAGGGTTTAGGGCTTAGGGTTTAGGATTTTGACTTTGACTTTGACTCGCAACGGGTCAGTGCATAGCAGAGACATGCAGACACTGGTGGACCCGCGTGAGATGCCTGGCAGCTTGTAGCTGCACTTGCGTAAGCAAGCCCCAAAAGTGTGAAACACGAGGCTGGCATGCCGGTCCTGGGACCCAGCACATGCCTATGAGAGATGGCCCTCCGGTCCGAAGACCCAGCAAAGGCACCGATTATTCTAGGGTTTAGGATCTAGATTCTGGTACTACTAGCAGCCAGCCCAAAACAACAGATTAGCTCTGCTGGACTACAGAAAAAGAACCCCAACCACAAGCAGGACGACCCGGAGCTCAAGGCTGAATAGGGAAAGGGGGCTGAGGAACCAGAGCTGTTCACACGAGCTTGGGGGCTGAAGGGTTTGAGGGGCTGTTTTCTACCACCCCGAACCCCAAACACCCCTAAACCCGAAAGCCTAAACCCTAGAACCTAGAACCCTAAACCCTAAACCCTAAACCCTATAGACAATCTGGTCCTGGCAGAACACTCGTCGTCCTGGGCAAGACGCGCCTTCAGGGTAGGGGATGGCGCCGTGTCGCCCCGCGCCAGCAGCGGCAGCAGCGCAACGATCAGAAAAGCCATGGCTTTCAGTGGTTTTTGAAACGGGGTTTGTAGGGTTTAGGATTAGGGTTTAGGGTTTAGGGTGTAGGGTGTAGGGTTTAGGGTTTAGGGTTTAGGGTTTAGGGCTTAGGGTTTGTAGGGTTTGTAGGGTTGGGACAAAAGCCCTATACGGCTCAAGTGAGTTTAGGTACTAAGACCTCTCTCTTGGAAACAAAAGAAGAGAGGGTGTCATTTTTGCTTCACGGGGTTTACATTTACTCGAAGGAGCATCACCTGCCCAAACCGTCAAAAGGGGAATCTTGGTACTACTTGGCGTCCCAGGGCGCGGCGCTGCATGTAAAAGTCTTCTACTCTAGGGTTAGCTCAAGGAACCCTTGTAAAACCCCAACAACGAAACTTAGAATTCAAACATTGCAGGTTAACGATCGTGTTGTTATTACCCTGAAGGGTTCCTCTAAGGGTTTCTTGCGCAACATTCGAGGACTTCCCTGGTGGCAAAAGTGGGGGGGAGTCGGCGTAAATGTTCTCCAGAGCAGACTCTTGCAGGGTTTGGGGTTATCACCCTAAGCCTTACAAGGCTGCAGCTGTTACGAGGTTGCCCAGTATTCATTTAGGAACAATAAAGCCTGCCTTGCTTGCTGGAAGCCGGGAATAAGGACACTAGATTCAAAACAGTTACCCGCCCTCTCCCCTAAACCTGAACCTTATTCTCAAATACCTACGCTGCAGGCCTGAAAAGGCCTAAGCCCCACAAGATACAGCGCAGATCACCCAGAGATCTGCAAGCAGTCCTCCGTACTGGCCTCGGAGGACGGGTTAGAGACTTCCGCCCTAAACCCTGAAGCCCACCCTAAACCCTAAACCCTAAACCCTAAACCCTAAACCCTAAACCCTAAACCCTAAACCCTAAACCCTAAACCCTAAACCCTAAACCCTAAACCCTAAACCCTCCCAAACGAGGTACAGCTCGGGCCTTGGGCATGTTGGGAGGTGTTGGGCTTTACGGGGGCTTCAAGGCTCCCAGGGCCTAAGCACCTCAACCTCAAGTTTTGGGTTCAGGGTTTCGGATTTAGGCTTTAGGGTCTATAGGGTTCGGGTTCCGGGTTTAGGGTTGTTTAAAGCAACTGAAGTCTACGCTTCCCCAGAATGCTACACTGGCTAAAGCCGAGACATAGAAGGACCAGCACCTACACCAGAGACAAGTTTACTTGCAGCCTGCCCTGCACCCTAAGCCACAAAGCCCTGAACCTTCCATAAACCCCAAACCTGGAACCCTACAAACCCTAAACCCTTAAACCCCCACGATCCTAACAAACCCCAGGTTCTATAAGCTCTGAACTATACTCCCCTTAATATTCCCCTGGGGTTCTATTGAAACAAAACAAAAAATTATGCCTAAGGGGTCTATGGTAAACCCTAAACCCTAAACCCTAAACCCTAAACCCTAAACCCTAAGCCCTAAACCCTAAGCCCCAGAACCCTAAACCCTAAGCCCTAAACCACTAAACCCTAAACCCTAAACCCCTAAGCCCTAAACCCTAAACCCCTAAACCCTAAACCCCAAACCCTAAACCCTAAACCCCAAACCCCAAACCCTAAACCATCCTACACGACTAAACCCTAAACCCCAATCTCCTTGCGCTTTAACTCTGCTGCGAGCTTCTTGTTGTCTTTGTCGTGCTCATGGAGGCGATCGCTGCCTTCACGTGTTTCTCGAGGGCACGGGCGCCCATTTCGCGATGTCCTCGCTCCTCTTCTGGGTCTTTGCATCGATGTCTGGCGAGAGCCCCAGCTGCGTCAGGGACACTTGCTTGGAAGCCCGGAGATAGTGGAGGTAAAGAGGGAGACGACATCGATCCCCGTCAGCGAATTGCGCGCTGAGTCCGAGCCGGCTAACCCCAAACCCTAAACCCTAAACCCCCTATAGTAAACGTGAACACTCTAAACCCTAAACCCCAAACCCCAAACCCTAACCCCCAAACCCCAAACCCCAAACCCTAAACCCTAAACCCCTAAACCCTAAACCCCTAAATCATTCTCCGATGAAGCTGCCGGGATGTCGTCGAAGTCGCAGTGCTCCTCTGGGATGGACGCGTCGATCTCCTCCAGAGCGCGACATGGTGGCTTCCGAAATAGGGTTTAGGGTTTCGGGTTTAGGGTTGCTGGCCTAAACCCTGAACCCTAAACCCTAAACCCTAGACCGGTTTACCCTAACCCTAAACCGTGAGCCCTAAGCCCTAGACCCTAAGCCCTAAACCCTAAACCCTGAGCCCTCAACCCTAAACCCTTTTTGTGGGTCCCTTTAACGGGATTCTATTCTATTTTGGGGTATAAATTGTGGCAACCCCTATTTTGGGAAATGCCCACATTCACGTCGCGGGACGTTGTGTAGCGGTTTGTGGTTTAGGTTTTAAGGTTCGGGTTTAGGGTTAAGGTTTAGGGCTTAGGGCTTAGGGTCCAGGGTTTAGGGCAGGGTTTGTCATTTATGGCCAAACCCTTGAAGCCCTACAGCCCTGTCCATCAGGTAGCCATGACTCCTGCTGAACTTGTAGGGTTTAGGGTTCGGTTTTAGGGTTTAGGGATGTTTGGAGTTAAGGATTTAGGATTAGGGTTTAGGGATGTTTAGGGTTTTGGGTTTAGGATTAGGGTTTAGGGATGTTTAGGGCTTGGGGTTTAGGCTCCAAACCCTAAAACCCTCAACCCCTGAACCCGAGTCTCCCACAGGCGCCTAAACCCCAATCCCCAATCCCCAAACCCCAAACCCCAAACCCTAAACCCTAAACCCTAAACCCTAAACCCCAAACCCCAAACCCTAAACCCTAAACCCTAAACCCTAAACCCCCCAAAAAGTGCAAGCCCGGGAGCCGAGGGCTGCAACTCCGAGTCGGTCGCGGCGAGAGGAACCTGCCGACTTCGGGCCGTGGGGTTTAGGGTTTAGGGTTTAGGGTTTAGGGTTTGGGGTTTAGGGTTTAGGGTTTAGGGTTTGTTTAGGGTTTAGGGTTTGGGGTTTGGGGTTTAAATTAAGGTTTTGGGTTCTAGGGTTTAGGGATTAAAAAAATTTATAAGAAACCTTGAACCATTGAAGGGCACAAGGGTACCACTGGGCTGCCAAGGTTTAGGGTTTTGGGGTTTAGGGTTTAGGGTTTAGGGTTTTGGGGTGAAAGGGTTTGGGGTGGGTTTAAGGTGTTCGGGTCTTAGGGTTTTAGGGTTTTCGGTTTAGGGTGTTAGGGTTTTAGGGTTTGGGGTTTGGCGCTTCGGGCTCTAGGGTTTAGGGCTTGAGGGTTTTAGGCTTTTCGAGCTTAGGACCCTCGCGTTCTTAAGGTTTTTGGCTTTGGAGTGTTAGGGTGTTAGGGTGTTTGGGGTTTTGTGTTTTTTTTTTTTTTTTTGGGGGGGGGGGGTGGTTGGGCGGGGGCCGGGGAGGGGTATTGAGGTGTTGGGGTGTCAGGGTTTGAGGGCGTTAGAGTGGTAGCTTTAGGGTATTGGGGTGTGAAGGTTTTACGGTTTTGGGGTTAAACCCTAAACCCTAAACCCTAAACCTTAGTCCCGGGTGCATAGCAGCCTTTAGTGTTGGAGCAACAGCTGCTGCGATAGCCGCGGGCAGTGGCCCGAAGCAAGCAGCCTTTGGTGACAAGAGCACAAATGGTACTCAGCCCGTCGTCGATCAAGTACAGCCCGGAGGCATCCAAAAAAGGCTTGTTCTCGGTGGAGTGCCAGTAGCCGTGGTCCACGCAACAGGCCGGTTCCATGCTGGCCCTAACCCTACACCCTAAACCCTAAACCCTAAACCCTAAACCTAAGGAATATCTCTTTCAACTCAGCGATCCTGTGTTCGTCTTTGTCTCGCCACCCGCTCAAGCCTTCGCATGAGATCGGCACCTGGCGGCTCTGAACCAGCTCGGGTGCTCGTGTGTGCTCCGCCCTAGCAGACCCCAAAAACTGAAGTCCCTAAACCCAGGTTTAGGGCTTAGGGTTTAAGGCTTAGGGGTCTCGGGGGTTTCGGTATTTAGGGGCTAGGGCTTAGGGTGAAGGTTACCCGAGACCCCCCTCCAAAGCCCCAATCGCCCCCAAACACAAAATCCCGCCTCTGCGACTACAAGCTTGCTCCCCCAAACCCCAGGACCTGTACCTCTGGCACCCCTAAACCCTAAACCCTAAACCCTAAACCCTAAACCCTAAACCCTAAACCCTAAACCCTAAACCCTAAACCCCTAAACCCTAAACCCCAAACCCCAGAAGCCCAAACCCTAACGGAGCCTCTGGCTCCTCAGAGAGCGGAGGCAGGGCGGGTGGCGCCTGGACAAGTGCGAAAAGATGTTTAGGGTTTAGGGTTTAGGGTTTAGGGTTTAGGCGGTTTAGGGGTTAGGGTTTAGGGTTTAGGGTTTAGGGTTTAGGGTTGGAGGTCTACCTAAACCCCCAAAGTATGCAACATGGTAGTCCATTTTTATTGTTTCGGGCTTTGTAAGAGATACGGCCAATTTCAGGTAGAACTTTAGCCAGGATTTGGGGCTTGGGGTTTAGGGCTTTGATTTGGGGTCTAGGGATTCAGAGACTGCAGCCGTGTAATTGGGTGAACAGAAGTTACCAGAACATGGACACATTATTGTCCGTCATCTCCAAGTACTGGTAGCTGACATGAAGATATGGCGCCGAAGCTACCCACAATTCAGGATTCGAGGTTTGGGACTTGCCCTAACCCCGGACTTCAAAGTCCTGCACTCCTTGGCAGGAGCAAGGTCCTGTTGTTCGTGCTAGTCAGACACGATGGCCGGAAAGCACTAAACCCTAAACGCTTGATGAAATCCTAAACGCTGAACCCTAACACCCTGAACCCTGAACCCTGAACCCTAACTCCCTGACACCCTAACGTTTATAACTCCCTGAACTCTCACACCCTCACACCCTCAGCCCCTGCCTCTGATGGCGGCTCTGGCTTCTTCTTCTGCTGCTTGGCCCGCGACTCCTCGCGCCTGGCTTCCTTCGACTCCTCCAGAATAGGACTTCGGGTTTACCTGGACCCCCAA